AAGCAATGAGCTTCCGTTCTGCCCAGCCCCTTTGGGGCAGGACTGCAGAGACAGGCGGAACTTTAGAGGCTCCCGGCAGTTCTTGTAAAAGGAAGTTATTCAGTCACTCAGGGTAAGGAAGTTGAATCCGTGCAGTGGCCTAAGTGGCCTAGAGACTGACCCTTCTCCCCACCCCAAGACCCCTCTCTACCATAAACCCCACTCCCAGAAGTCACTCCATTCGTGTGAACTCGCAACTTCCAGAAGCCTCTCGCCCCATCCAGCCTGATGTCCTACAGTGAGATATGGTGAGTTGAGAATGAGACACAGGATGCCCCTTGAACTTGCTCAGGGACCACCTCTGTGCCTGTGCTGAAGCCAGGGGACAGTGGGACCCACGGGGGAGGCTGTGGATTGTACCAACCCTGCTGAGTCACAGGTGTCATTGTGGGGAGGGGTTTCAGGAAGCAGCAGGGACTTGGGGCCGAGGCCAGCTGGTGACAAGGCCCCTTCTCTCAGGCTCAAAGGTCGCCACGCCTCCCTGGTGCCCAATGAGGCATTAAAGAAAGTGAAGTGCATCGGACAAGGTGGGTTCGGCACAGTGTTCCTGGCGCGACATGAGCAATGGGGTCGTTATGTGGCAGTCAAGATCGTGAACTCGTGAGTGCCCCAGCTGTTGGCTGGTCAGTGTCTTGCCTTGGAGGCAGGCTGCTGTCCTTGGGGGCCTGAATGGGGAAGGGAGGGATCTTTCCAGCAGAGCCGGACCCCAGCTCTCTCGTGGAATACAGGGAGGTGATATCCAGAGAGGTGAAGGCCATGGCCAGCCTGAATAGTGAGGACGTGCTGCCACTGCTGGGAGTCACTGAGCAGCTGGAGTGGGACTCCGTGTCTGGACCGGCTCTGGTGACTCGATTCATGGAGAACGGTTCCCTGGCGGGGCTGCTGCAACTCCAATATCCTCTGCCCTGGCCACTTATCTGCCGCCTGCTGCAGGAGATTGTGCTTGGGATGTGTTACCTGCACAGCCAGGATCCTGTGCTTCTGCACCGGGACCTGAAGCCCTCCAACGTTCTGCTGGACTCAGACCTGCACGCCAAGGTCAGCCTACCACACTCCAGCTCAGCTTCTGGACAAGGCCCTGCCCTAGAGCTGCTCCAGAACCACCCACTGTAGCATCTGCTACAGTCCTGTCTACTGAACACCCTCAGCATCTTCCTCTGTACAAAAGCTGCCCAAGTGCCAAGGCCCACCCAGAAGCTTTAGCCTCTATCACAAGTGATAGAGGCCCTGACCACACCACTAGGACTTCAAAAGACCCATGGCTGACAGCTCAGGAAACTCAGACCTTGACTGAGCTCATTAGAGGGGGGACCCAGACCCCCAAACCAAGGGCCCCATTGGTCCCACTGTTCCCCTAACCCTCCACACCCCCTTCACAAGGCTGGGTCTGTATCTCTGGTTTGGGGTGGGGGAAGAAAGGGATTCTGGAAGCTGCCTCGCTCTGTCCATCCCCTACCTCTTTCTCCTTCCCTTTCTTTGCAGCTGGCAGATTTTGGCCTGTCCACATTTCTGGGATGCCCACGGTCACGGACAGGATCTGAGGTGTCAGGGGGTACCCCAGCCTACTTGGCCCCAGAACTGTTGGCTGATGTAAACCACAAGGCTTCCAAGGCCAGTGATGTCTACAGGTAAGGTACCCATGCCAAACACACATTCCCAATTTTTACACCTCTCGGGGCCCTTCTAGGGGGAGGTATACTGGAGAGGTGTTTTGCCAGAGATTGGACTTGGCCTCACCTTTGTATCTCTGACAGCTTTGGGGTGCTGATGTGGGCAGTGCTCGCCGGAAGAGAAGCTGAGAGTAAGACTTTAAGCACACTCTGGGGTCCTTAACCCAGGTGCCCTCCTCCTGAAAGTCCCCAAGCCCTGCCCTTCCCGCTTACCTGCTCAGACTGTCCTACTCCCTCCTCACCTCCCCTGGACTACACTCTCTGCCTCTTTCCATGAGGCAGCAGGTGGCCCCTCATACCCTGAGTGCTTTTTCTTCATGCCCCATACAGTCACATCAGCAGTGAACAAGACATCACTGGTGAAAAGTGCTGTGTGTGACAGGAAGATCCGGCCACTACTGAAAGAGCTGCCCCAGCCTGGCCCGGAGACTCCAGGCTTGGAAGGACTGGTGGAGTTAATGCAGCACTGCTGGAGTCATGAACCCAAGGACAGGCCTTCCTTCCAAGGTGAACTGGCATTTAACTGGCAGCTGGCTGCAGCCTGGATCTGTCAGCCAGATGGTCTCCCTAGGAAAGGAGTTTTGCTCACCTGCCACCCACTCTGCCTTCTCTCCAGAATGCAAACGACGCATTGAAGCAACCCTCTGCCTGGTACAACGTGGAGACGAAGATGGTACGAAGATGGATGCTGCCATCTCCACAGTGAGTGTCCCACACCAAACCCAGCCCCAAGAACTGGGCATAAATGGCACCACATGGCTCCCCGGACCACCCAGCAGCTTCCTACTGACCACTGTTCTTTATGCCTTGACCCTCATGCCCACTCTCCCCACTGCACTCCTGAATTCCCAGACAGCAGATTATGAATCAAGAAATTCCTTCCTCGAGTTTACTCTGGCTCTCCTGCCTCCACACCCAGCAAGTTCTCCCTGTCCTTGCAGGTAAAGAAGTTCCTGTCTGAGCACAGGAAGAGCAATAGGCAGTTGTCTGCCCCTAAGCCAAGCCTGAGCGAAACAGAAAATGATGGCCTTGGGGAACCCACAGGAAGCCTTGATTCCATCTTAGCCTCTGACACGCTGAATAAACTGAATCTGCAATGCTCCAGCTCTGCTCCCAAAAGAGGTGCTAACCTTCCTGAGAGGACTGAGGCACAGAAAGAGCAGGCTCAGCATGCCTGGATGGCAGGCCTGTCTTCTGATTCAACAGCCCAACCTCCTTCAACTCCAGAGACCTCATCATTCAAAAACCAGAAGCCCAACCCCACCTCAGCTTGGACGCCGGGTCCTGGACCCCAAGGAAATCAGGTGAGACTCTGGTAGGACTAGAGGATGCAAATCCTGTCCCCTTTCCAGGGAAATCTTGGGGCCTAGGGGTTATGGTCTGGAAACAGGCCCCAAGACAGGGAGCCTGAGAATGCTATTGTCCACAGGGGCCTGAGAGATGTGACGCCAACTGGCCTCCTAAGGAGCCAGGGCCAAATCCAACACCAGGTACCCACTTCCCACTCCTTTCCTCCTACCCTGCTCCTCTACCAGCTTCATCCTCAGGACTCTATGTGGATCCAGGGCACCTTGGGGAAAAGCAGGGAGAGAAAGGACTAGAGGCCATCTACCCCACACCTTCTCGTTTCATACATGGAAAAACTGACACCCACTGGGATTGGATCCTGCTGAGGTCACAGCAAAGCCTGGATTTGTCCCTGGGCCTTGTGGCTCCCCAGGACCAGCTCTATGAATCCCCCAATTCCATTTTGGTAGGTTAGTACAGAGGGCCTCCCAGCAGAAAAGACCCAAATACCAGAGTCAGAAACCTCAGCTGCCACCACTCTTGAGCTTCTGTACACCCAGTTCTGAAGGGGCAGCCAACAGGGGAAAGACAAAGGCACACCCAACACCTTCCCTGGGAGGCCCTGGGACCCCATCTTTGCATTTCCCCAGGTGAACACGAGGAGCCGCTGCCCCTCTACTCTGCTGCTCCTCCTGAGTTGTGGACAGCTCAACCCTCACACTAACACCACTGTTTCTCTTAAAGGGCCACCGCACGTTACCATCCATAACAGCAAGTGGGTGCAGATCGGAAACAACAACCACATGATAATACCAGGAAAAACTGCTTTCCCCACAAGGAAGTGGCCACCTCAGGATATGGGTAGGGGCTGGCAGCATGGCCCCCACAAGTAGCTTTGAAAGAAGTGACACAAGAACCTGATGCCTGGACTGGGTCACAGAGCCAGTATCATAACAACAGGAATTGAGGAAGCCTCTAAACTGCCTCCTGGACTTGAGGCAGCTAGCTCAGTCTTTCTTTGAGGGCCATCGGGCCTGGCACTGGAACTGACTTTGTGGCCTCAGCAGTCAATAAAGTGGTGGAATTTTAACCAAAGTACTACGCAGGAGGCTATGGGTAGAGGAGGCACTGCAGTCTCTCTGACACAGGAAGCGGGATGCTGAGGCTGAGGGTCGGCCATGTCATGGTGCAGCAGGTCAGGGCCCAGCCGGTGGCAGGAAGGAATCCAGGAATCTCAGAGACCCGCTCCTGGGGCCCACTCTAATCTCAGGGCAGAGCACTTCCCCACCCTAAACCCAAACTATGGGGATAGATGCTGTGGTGCCACTATGCCCCCTCCTGTTTTCTTCCAGGCTATAGAGACTCCACAATGGGATCCCGGGGAGGGGAGTCTCCATGGGAATTTGCAGATCCCCACCCATCTTGTGCCCTACAGGAGAGCCCCTCCAGTCTCTTGGAGGTCAGCCCTCATACGGTCACCTTCCTGCATCACACACACATGCACATTACATCTGAGGTACGAGTCTTTTGGTTCTCAGCTTGTGTCTGGGAGTGGAAAGCTATGGTTCCTCAAAGCAACCACAGACATGTCCCCTCCTATGGAGCTGGAGATGGCGGGAGAATGGACAGTTCGGCTGCGGCCACACCAGTTGCTGTCCAGGCACCAGGGGCAAGGGGGAAATGAGCACTTGCCTCCATCTGACCTAGATCCTAGCTCCATCTGTTACCGTGGGCATCCCTTTCTCGCCAGCCTTCACTCCAGCGCTCCCTCAGCCTCCCCACCATCCAAGCTTTCCACCTCTGTTTTAACACTTGCCACTGAGTGGGCCCACCTCACGCACCTCTCCCGTGGTCTTCATTCTGCTTACTAAAGTGGGTTGAACTGGAAAGGCAGTAGTGTCAGAAGAAACAATTAGAGTGGGGGAGGGGGCCTGGGTAGTCCCGCTCGGGCACGGGAAGGGCCGGGCTGTTTCATCGGGGAAGTGGGAGGGGGCCCGAGGCGCCGGGAGGGAAGCGCCTGTCGCCCGGGGCTCTGAGCCACTAACTTAGCGGCGGGCAGAGACTCCGCAGCTACCCCCCGCAGCTACCCCCCCGGCTCCCGCCCCGGGCCTAGCAAACTCAGCTGCAGCAGCCTCGCAGGCGGTGAGTTGGGGAATAAAGGGAACCCGGGGCTCTGTTGCTTCCACCTCAAATCCTGTCCTCCTAGAGCTGAGGCTTTTGCTGCGGGGTTGGGGTTGGGGGGCGGAGGGGGCGTGTGGACACCTGGGCAGTCGGGGTTTGAGGGAGGAGGAGCAGTGCCCGCACCGCCAACTTGGGAGAACACTGGGAGCCACAGGGTGTGCCTGGAAGATGAGTTCCCGCGAGGTTGGGAGCGGGGTGGCAATGGTGAGAGGGACACAGTTGGGGCTTGCTGGGGCCCGCTGGCAGTAAGCCGGACAACGGCCCTCCCCAGCCCCGCGGTCTGCCCCGCGGCGGTGCAGGGCGGGACCAGAGAAGACTATGGCCAGACTCTTCAGTCCCGGGCCGCCGCCCAGCGAAGACCTCTTCTACGAGACCTACTACAGCCTGAGCCAGCAGTACCCGCTCCTGCTACTGCTGCTGGTGATCGTGCTCTGTGCGCTCCTGGCCCTGCTTGTTGTCGCCTCAGCCAGCGGCAGGGTGAGCAGGGCCTGTGGTGCCCAAGCTTCAAGGGCGACGGGAGGGTCACTGTCTACGGGGTAGTTTCAGTGCTGAGGCTTGTGGGTTCTTCTTCTCTATTGAGCCTTTCTATAGAGACCCTGAACAAGTCACTTCACCTCTCTGGGCCACACGGTCTCTGGGTCTACTCTGGGAGGTATCTGAGCCCTGGGTGCTTCTAATTTCTCTCAGGGTGCTGACAGACCTTCTGTACTTACGAGCTTCTGTAATCTACTAGTTCTAGAATAAATCCAACACCCAACACCGGATTTTCCCATTTTCCAGAGTGGGGGAAATTACACCAGGCCCCGTGGGAATCCATTTCCTGGTTTTCTTTCCACCTAAGGGGCTGCGGGGCAATTGCACGCACCAACTCCCAGAAGTTACCTTTCATCCCGCTCTCATTTAGTCCCAAAATAAACCAATCTCCACTTTCCTTTGGAGGGAGAAAAGGGGTCTTTAAATCCATTTCTGGAAACATCCTCCTTCAAGTTTTCTTTTCATTCTTCCGAGGTGAGGTGGGGAAAATTCACTGGATGTAACCAGTCCTTGCTAATCCACCTCAAAGTCCAGGAAGAGGTGGGACAAAGGGCAAAGACAGTGGCAGGACTTCTACGCCCAGAGGCGGTGGCGAGAACGCAGCCCCTGAGGGATAAGGGAAGTTTCTGGCGCCCCCTGCTGCCAGAGCACTGCTTCCCGGGGCTCGGAAACTCTGAGCCGTCTGCCTGGGGCAGGGAATTTCACCATCCAATTGGCCAGATTTGGATGCACTTAGTTCTAAGTGCCTTCTGTGAGCTAGGATTGTTCACCGATCCCAGGCAGGTGCTGTGACTTCTATTTGACAGATGAGGAAGCTGAGGCTCAGAATGATCACGGATACTCAATGGCCGATATGGAGCTGGAGTCCCAACTTCTGGGTAGATGGCTGATGGCTCAGCCGCCTCTGCAGCATGCAAGTGAGATATTAGGTTGAACCTTATGAGATTGCTAGTTCTGTAGATTAAGATCAGGTTATCAACAATTTATATGGTTCAGCCTAATATGAATGGCAAGCAGAGGTGCCCTGCCTCCTTTACGTACTTGGGTTTGAGACATTTTTCAGAATTGGCCTGAGGGGCTGCCCATTTTTGCTCTTGGATGAGCTCCCCAAACTCCATCCGCGCCGCTCCCCACAGGAGTTGACCTCAGACCCGGGCTTCCTGACCACGGTGCTGTGCGCGCTGGGTGGCTTCTCACTGCTGCTGGGCCTGGCCTCCCGCGAGCAACGACTGCAGCGCTGGACGCGTCCCCTGTCGGGCCTCGTGTGGGCAGCGCTGCTTGCTCTAGGCCACGGTTTCCTGTTTACTGGGGGCGTGGTGAGCGCCTGGGACCAGGTGAGATGGGTGGCAGGTGGGGCAGGAGGTAGTGGGACTTACCGACCTCCAACTTGCACCCAGGACACCAACAGCAAGCAGCGCAGCAGTGTCAGCCTGCAGCTTTCCGCTCCCGCTCCCCCTCCCCCAGGTGTCCTTTTTCCTCTTTGTCATCTTCACTACGTATGCCATGTTGCCCTTGGGCATGCGGGACGCCACTGCTGCGGGTCTTGTCTCGTCACTCTCACACCTGCTGGTCCTCGGGCTGTATCTTGGGCCTCAGCTGGACTCAAGACCCGCGCTGCTGCCGCAGGTGAGCACGCAGCAGTAGCACAGGCTGCGCCCAGGGCCAGCACAGCTGGATGCTACTTGGTTCGTCAGGGCATTCACCAGCCGTTTGCTGAGCTCTGACACTACAACAGGACACAACGCTGGGCACAGGGCACACATACAGATAGACCCGGACTGTGCCTTCTTGGAGCTGGTACACTGGTGCAGTGCCATGCCTGCAGACACCAGAAGAGGGCTCTGTGCCCTCGGGGAAGGAAGTTAGACAGGGGTGGTGGGGACAGCTGTGCATGATAGAGCCCTCAGAGAGAATGCAAAAGTTGGAGCTTGAGTAGTTTTGTGCTGCTGTGTGTGTAGGGGTGGGGTGGGGTTATAGAGTAGTGTTCCAGGCAGAGGAAAAGTATGTGCAAAGGTTTCTAGACCTAAGAAGCTTATATCGGTGCAGCAGCCAAGAGTCTGCAACTGGGGTAAGGGGGCGGGGTGAACAAGAAGCGCCACCTACCACCTACGGATCCCACTGTGTGGCACAAACTGCCCCCAAATACTTGGGTCTCTAATGGTAGTGTCCTCCCCAGCCCCTCTGGAGATCAACTCCGGCTACACACATAGGCACCCCCACCCCTACCCGGGTCTAGCGCCCCCCTGAGGCTGACCCTCACCCACAGCTGGCAGCAAACACGGTGTTGTTCCTGTGCGGGAATGTGGCCGGAGTGTACCACAAGGCATTGATGGAGCGGGCACTGCGCGCCACCTTCCGAGAGGCGCTTAGTTCCCTGCACTCTCGCCGGCGGCTGGACACAGAGAAGAAGCACCAGGTCTGCCTGTACTGGGGGTGAGGAGGGACCCAGTCCAGGGGAAAAGGGATACTTAACTCACACAACTGGGCTCTTTCACAAGCCAATGACTTCGGGCAGGTCACCCGATTTATTTTCTCCTTTGTCAAAAGTGGCTGTTGCCTACCTTGGAAGGTTGCCGGGAAGCTCAACCAAGCTGAAGCTTATTAAAGCCTTTTAGAACCTTATGACACTAAACAAATTCTAATTCTGGCATTGGTGCTGGGAGTTCAATCCCTAAAGGTGGTCAGTGCAGGATGGGGTACTGGAGCATAGCTGTATGTGGGGTGGGGAGGACCTGGAAGACCACCCTGGGGAACACCTAGTGGGGCTGGAGAAGGACGTGGCCTCCCAGGAATTGGAGACGCTGGGCTCCTGGCTTTAGGGTGCAGGAGGATTGGTTCTCATAGTGACCTCCCTCAGGAACACCTTCTCTTGTCCATCCTTCCTGCCTACTTGGCCCGAGAGATGAAGGCAGAGATCATGGCACGGCTGCAGGCTGGACAGGGGTCGAGGCCAGAGAACACCAACAACTTCCACAGTCTCTATGTCAAGAGGCACCAGGGAGTCAGGTACAGGCAAGGATGGCTGGAGGGGAGGGGGCGTGCGCCGAGACCCTGGCCTCACTGACTGCATCTGCCCTGCCCAGTGTGCTGTATGCTGATATCGTGGGCTTCACGCGGCTAGCCAGTGAGTGCTCCCCAAAGGAGTTGGTGCTGATGCTCAATGAGCTCTTTGGCAAGTTCGACCAGATCGCCAAGGTCAGAGGGGGCCTCTCTCCCCAGCTTCAAACACCCCACTTGAGAGCCTGTTCCAAAAGCAATCCCTAACTTATAAGACCCTGGTCTCATTTCAGAGCCCATGTGGGCTCCCAGATACACTGCTGAAAATTAGGAAACCCTGGCAAACACCCCAGTTATGGAGCCACTCACCACACACCTCAAATCTGGAGACACCTCGCAACATCTCCACAGGTGTTCCAACCACGGCACCCCAAATATGCCCAGAACCCCAACACAGGTGTCTCTGGACATTAAACCCAAATCTGGATATTCAGATGCGCTAGCCTTAGGAGGACCTTCCAAGGGAAATCTCTGGCCCAGTGCCACCTGCTTAGACCCTAGGGATGCCCCCAAGCAACTTAATCTTGGGTCTCCCGGCCCCAAAAAACTCCTCATACCAGAGTCTACTTTTATATGCTCAAATCTGAATACACCCTACACATGCCAAAGCTGAGGTGAGTGACAGACCTCCCAACCCTTGAGAAATCCTTCTGAGAACAACACCTGCATGGGAGACCTCAGCTAGCCCCGCAACAAGTTAAGGGTGTCCATAGATCCACCCTAGACACTCCCAACCTCTCAAGTTCCTCAGGAACACCCCATGTGCTCCCACCTTTCCCAACTTCTTCCTGCCTCCTCTGGCTTCTAATCAGGTGTCCCTCTCCCCCCTGCACACACACACACTCCCAGGAGCACGAATGCATGCGGATCAAGATCCTGGGAGACTGTTACTACTGTGTCTCCGGGCTGCCCCTCTCCCTGCCAGACCACGCCATCAACTGTGTGCGCATGGGGCTGGACATGTGCCGGGCCATCAGGTCAGCTCAGGAGGGTGGGCAGGAGGAGTCCTGAGGATGGATGTGGGAGAGGAGCAGGCAGGGTGGTGAAGTCTTCCTGGAGAGAGAGAGAGGTGTGGCCTGGGTAGGGCTGAAGATGGCACTCAGGTTGTCCCCGAAACACCCTGCTCAGGAAACTGCGAGCAGCCACCGGCGTGGACATCAACATGCGCGTGGGTGTGCACTCAGGCAGCGTGCTCTGTGGAGTCATCGGGCTGCAGAAGTGGCAGTATGATGTCTGGTCCCATGACGTCACATTAGCCAACCACATGGAGGCGAGCGGCGTGCCAGGGTGAGACCTGGGGCTCCAAGAAGCTACAGGAAGAAGCCAACTAGGCCTCCCCCTTGTTGCCTCCCTTTTCATAGTTCCTTCAAATGAGCAATCCCACTGGGGCCCAGGGAGCCTGTGGGGTGCAGGGAAGGAAGCTGGGAGGGACCTCCTATGGCACTGGTCCTTTCTTGAAGTCAGACCTTCAGAAATGAGCCTTGGAAAAAAAGACAGTTTGGGGGCCCTTCCTCCTAACTCCCATGGTCTCCTCCTTCCAGACGAGTGCACATCACAGGGGCTACCCTGGCCCTGCTGGCAGGAGCTTACGCTGTGGAGGATGCAGCCATGGAACACCGGGACCCGTACCTGCGGGAGCTAGGGGAGCCTACCTACCTGGTCATCGATCCCCGGGTAAAAGCCTAACTGGGAACCCAAGGGCTGGCCCGCTCTAACCATCCACAGCCACAGGTCCAGTCTCTTCTCCAATGCCAGAGATGGAGTTCCTGGGTCCTAGTGTGCATGCTGCAGGGAAGGGGACACGAATTTCTAAGGTCTGTGGGGAGAATGGGGAAGGGTTCGTAATCTTGACTGTCAACCGTTATATACCCCAGGCTGAGGAGGAGGATGAGAAGGGCACTGCAGGAGGGTTGCTGTCCTCTCTGGAGGGCCCCAAGATGCGTCCATCACTGTTGATGACCCGCTATCTGGAATCCTGGGGTGCAGCCAAGCCTTTTGCTCACCTAAGCCACATTGAGAGCCCTGTGTCCACTTCTACTCCTCTCCAGGTATGTCCACCTCCATCATGAGCCCCCACATTTACATAAACCCACCCCCAGTGCCCATTCCCAGCCTCCCTGCCCCTACCACCAGTGAGTCACCTGATGACATCCCAAGTCTGAAATCTCTGGTCACCCAAGTCACTGTCTCAGGACCTTCCTTGCCCTGTCTCAAGGAAAAGGGCAAAGATGACTGCCCTTTGAGCTCGCTGCAGAGATGTGAGATTCCCATAGACACCATGCCCATTGCTCCCCAACCTCCGTTCAGGAAGCCCTCCTCTGGGGACCCCACTTCCTCCTGACTCTGAAGCCAGTGCTCACACCCATTCTCATTGGGAAGTGTCTCTTTTTAACTCAGTTCCTGCAACTACATGCTCTCTTCTTCAGCCCCTACTAAGGACTGGGAAGATGGGGCAATTGCTGATGCTACTCTTCAGCACTTGTACACAGATAAAACGAGGTGACAGTGAAAATCTCACATGGCTTTGCAGAAGGAAGTCACCATGAGCAGGCAGGGGAGAGGGAGGAAGGGAAGGGAGTGGGCCTGCCTCCTGTCTAGGGAAAGCTAGGGAAGGGCCGATTACTGGGTGATCCTAGGCATAGTACCCTCAGGTAACCACTGACCTCCAGCTGGCAGAGGAGCCTGGAGCCCTGCCTCTAGTTCTCAGGGTTGGTGCTGGGTGATGAGGGACTAGAGCCTTCACGCAGGGAGCCAGGCTATGTCCCTAAAGGCTTGCTCCGGGGTCAGGTTCCTCAGCCTGCTCTCCTCCATCTTACTGATCTTCCTGATCTTCCTGATAGGCATTCCCAGCTACCTTTCTGCAGATCTTCCCAGAATCTTCTCTACTGGTAGACCTGGTCAGATTTATGGGATGACCCCAGGGGATCCTTTCCCTTCCATCTCCCTTCTCTCCCATTCAGCAGGAAAGCAGGCTGAGAGCAGCGGCCACTGAGGAGTGAGGGGACATTGGCAGCTGTGGGTTGGGAGAGTACTTCATTTCAAGCCTCAACTAGAGTAGGGGACAAGTCAGAAGGACTAAGCTCACAGGAAGGAGAAGAAAAAAGTACCCAAGACCCAGCTGTCTGGTGCAGGATGAGGCCTCCAGGATGAGGGTAGAGTAAAGGGGATGTGGCCGGGGACCCAAGGACATGACACCACATTGAGTGCCGTCCCCATGGTGGGGATGCCCCCTAGAACCCATGCCAGATTTTTCCAACCCCCACTAAGATGCAAGCTAAGAAGTATCACGGTGGAGGGGTAGGGGCCCCTTGTTTTATGGACAGGACCTGACCAGCCCAGAAATTCACCTCAGTCCCTGAAGTTCCAGGGTCGCAGTCACATGTTAGAAATCCTGAGAATCACAATCCGCCTACTCTTAAACAATGAGGAATTTTGGGAAGGCGGGGCCGTGTCTGTGCCAGTGTATCCTGTTTGTCTAGTCACCCCCTCCATAATTTTGAGCACCTACTATATGGCAAGCACTAGACTAGGTCTTGAAAAGATAGAAGTAAATAAGATGCTTTCCCTTTTTTAAAATAACTTATAGGCATTGAGCAGGGGCAGGTAGGAAGTTTGAAAAAACTTAGGCGCAGGCATACATGCACAGATGGGCTCGTGAGCTCGTTCCTGGAACATACCTCCCAATCTTTCTCTGTCCCTGTCTCAGTTTCTGTCTCAGACACCGTCCCTCCCTCTCCTCTCACACACACCCGGTTTTGGTTTAGGGGGATTAGGTGGCCCGTGTGACCCTGCTTCCTTCACCTGAGCCCAGGGGATCAGGGAAGGTCATCACACCCCTTGCCCTGGGCCATGGCCAGCGTTTTTCCCCGTCCCTTGGTGCTTGTCCACCTGCCATTTGTCTTCTTATCTCTTCGAGCACTGTGCAGCACTTTTGACACAGAACAGAATGACTGCAACCAAGTTTGTTTCTCTTCCTCTTTTCCTTTCTTCTCCATTTTTTTGTTTCGCACCCCCACTACCTCCCAGCTCAGCCTGACCATCACAAAAGGTCTGAGAGGAGTCAAAATGTTCTGCATTGTCACTTCAGTTCACACCAGTAAGGATCTGTGGGCATCCCAGGGTGATGGGAAGGCCCCTGACTTTGGCATTGGGCAGCCCTTAGGGAAAGTGAGGCACACAGAGCCAACAACCTTGTCTACCACTCAAGCCTGTGGAAGACATAGGGTTGCCTGGTAAGTGACAGAAACTAACTATGAGGAAATCAGAGTGCGAAGGCCCCGGGAGTCTAAGGAGTCAGGAGGAAGAGCAGGTCAGATCCCCCTGCCCCAACATGTTTGTCAGTTTGGCTCAAATAAACTCATAAAATATATTTTAAGTAAATAAAATGAGTCAGGAGGAATCTTTAAGGAGCAAATGCAGTTTGAACTTTCCCTGAAGAGCAGGTGGAATTTGGTGGAGAGAGAGCAGTCATTAGAGGCAGCAGAAACAGCCGTATCAAATGCTCAAGGTCAAAGGTATGTGTAGATACAAAGTGCCTCGCTCTAGAGGGGCTCCAAGGACCCACACCATCTTCCCATCTTCTCCTTCCTGTGTTCTCCCGACAGGAGAAGGCCCTGGCTTCCTTCAGCCCCCAGTGGAGCCTGGACCGGTGAGCAGGCCTGAGCAGTTTTGACAGTGGAGCTGTCTGGGTGACCAACCTCCATCCTTGGGGTGAGGGTGGGGGTCGCTCCTGCTTTGCCCAGATGCTTTTGGGGGTCTCTATGGCAACAGGCTGGGCTTTCACTGTGCAGGAGCCGTACACCCCGGGGACTAGATGATGAACTAGACACCGGGGATGCCAAGTTCTTCCAGGTCATCGAACAGCTCAACTCTCAGAAGTATGGAGAACAGAAGAGGGCTGGGAGGGCTGGAGGGCCGGGGTTCCTGGGGTAGGGCAGGGGTGCTGTTCTGCTGATGACCTGGAGGGGAGGGAGGGTCTTTCCTCTCCAGCCTGAGGAAAGACTCGCCTAACCATTCCCTCCTGCCCTGCTCTTTCCTCTCTGGGGTTCACTGCTCCCCACCTCCCACCAGACAGTGGAAGCAGTCAAAGGACTTCAACCCGCTGACACTGTACTTTCGAGAGAAGGAAATGGAGAAAGAGGTGGGCTGCGGGGCTGGAGGGGGGCATCAAAGGATGGCCTGCGGTCCCATCTCCCCACCACAGGTGTGATCAGTTTGTGATCCTGGGAGCGATGGAGGGGCCTGTGCCTCTCTCTAGAAGAAAAGTCACACTGTAGATTGAATTACTGGGTGGTGATGGAAGAGAGGACAGCTCCTTGGAGAACCCATAGCAGCTACCTAGAACTAATGAAGGGTGGGGCCGTGAGGCTGGGGGACCATCTCCTTGCCTAGAATTGACACCTTCACGATGATGAGCAGCACTGGTGACCCTGTCTCCACCCTGACCCCCTCCCTTCCAGTATCGACTGTCTGCACTCCCCGCCTTCAAATACTACGCGGCCTGCACCTTCCTGGTTTTTCTCTCCAACTTCACCATCCAGATGCTGGTGACAAACAGGTGAGACAGTCCCAGAAAAGGGAAGCCCGGATTCTCAAAAAATGGGCCCTCTGGTTCTTTCCAATCCCTGACACCCACTTTCTTCTTTTGCCTACTTGCCCTTGGCACTGACCCACAGAGGAAATGGAGACATGCGTTCTGGGGAACCATGATAACCACAGCCCCCACGTATTACTGTACATCCTGTGAATTTCCTACATCTGGTGGACCCGAGCATTTTCACATGCCTGTCTCTTGAGTCTAACATTCCCATGAATGAGGTTCTGTTTCCACTAAGAAGCCCAAATCTCACAGCAAACAAATATAAAAAGTGGGTCCTTGCTCCTAGTCCACTGCTAGGAGGGGTGAGGACTTGTTGAAAATTCAGCCTGGTGAAAGACCTTTGGCCTCAAGCCTCGGAGACCATCCTGACACAGCCTCAGCCACACTGTGGGCCCCACTGCCCCTTCCAATATTGTTCCCATCTTATTAGTTCTGGTCCCACCCAAACACTCCCCTAGACCCCTCAACTTTCCCATTTTATCATGTAATGTCTTTTATCATCCCAGACCCCATCAGCAGCTAGTTCAGATCCCCAGAACCACTTCCCATTTCTTCCAACCAGGTGATACAGCACCCTTCCACACACAGGGAGCCTATTCTGGTTCCTCAAAGCCTCGCTCTTGCCTCCCTTTAGGCCCCCAGCGCTGGCCATCACCTATAGCATCACCTTCCTCCTCTTCCTCCTCCTCCTCTTCGTCTGCTTCTCAGAGCACCTGACGGTGAGGTGGGCTGTGGGGCGGAAGTGGAGAGCTGGGGTTCTGACCACCACCTGATCCTGCTCCATGACAAAGACTCCCATGCTTCCTCCACAGAGGTGTGTCTTGAAAGGCCCCAAAATGCTGCACTGGCTGCCAGCACTGTCTGGCCTGGTGGCCACCCGGCCTGGACTGCGAGTTGCCCTGGGCACTGCCACCATCCTCCTCATCTTTGCCATGGCCATTGCCAGCCTGGTAAGGGCAGAGGGGGCCCTCTGCACCCCCATCAGGGCATGCTAGATCTGCCAAGGCTGAAAGGGGACCTCTGGATTTGGGAGGGCATCTGGACTAAGGTCAGGGGATGCTGGAAATTTTGAACAAGGAACGAAAAAAAAAAAAATGACAGTCACTCATGATCTACCACCTGCATAATCTTGTTAACACTTTGGTAGATATCTTTCCCATCTTTTCTTTTTTTTAATGTAGGCAGATCATCACTACTTAGCTCACTCACTATGATTTTATAGTGAAGTTTGGCTGACTTTTCAGAATTTAGAATCATTCCTAGAATTCTATCCCTGAAAGGCACCTTAGGAATCATGCCCAGCCAAGAAAACAAAGCTCGGTCCCAGAGAGGCTGAGTGGCCAGCAAGAGATCACACAGCGGAGCCTGGGCAGTCTAGGGCTCATGACAGCCTCTCCCCTAGTCCCTGCTCCCCACCACCAGTGAGGGGCCTCACCATCCAGAAGCAGCCAAATCTGCTCCTTCGGAGGAGTCTGGCCCTGACTTATCCCTGGCTCAGCTGACACCCAGCCCAAGTCACCACTGTGCGCAAGGAGCTGCTTGCCCACCTTAGCTCCTCATCTCCTTCTGCAGTTCTTCACACCGGCAACATCAAACTGCCCTTTCCGGGCTCCCAATGTGTCCTCCGTGGCTTTCAACCTCTCTTGGGAGCTCCCTGGGTCCCTGCCTCTCATCAGCATTCCAGTGAGTGTCTCGAATCTCCTCCAGAACTTTCCTCAGCTCCTCCCCCACATCTTTCATTGAAAAACACTCCATCCTGTGAGGAGGCCACGGGTCAGGGTCATAAATCACACTTGGTGTGTGCCTGTTTGTATGACACCCCAGATAGGACCTGGGAGGGGCAGGATAGGAGCCCTCAGGTGCCTCCCCACCCCTGCCTGTGGGACATGTCCCACCTCCTGACCAGCCTGTCTGGCCCCACAGTACTCCATGCACTGCTGCATACTGGGGTTCCTCTCCTGCTCCCTCTTTCTGCACATGAGCTTTGAACTGAAGCTGCTGCTGCTCCTGCTATGGCTGGCGGCCTCCTGCTCCCTCTTCCTGCACTCCCATGCCTGGCTGTCCGACTGCCTCGTCGCCCGCCTCTATCAGGGCTCCTTGGACTCCAGGTGCGCATGGCCGCTGGAAAGAGATGCCCAGGGCCTCTGGGACTGGGTGGTGGGACAGGGTAGAACTGTCCTCACTTCACTGACCTGAACCACCCACAAGGAAAAGCGGGAGGGAGGCTGAGGACTCCATGAGCATTGCGGGCAGGGAGAGGCCATCGTGAAGGGGCAAGACAAGAGACAACCCTGACCCATGGCCTCCTCAGGCCTGGAGTGCTAAAGGAGCCCAAACTGATGGGAGCTATCTCCTTCTTCATCTTCTTCTTCACACTCCTTGTCTTGGCTCGGCAGGTAAGTCACCCAGTTCAGCCTTCCAGGGCCTCCCTATGAAGAATGAGATGGGGTCCCCATATTTGTGACTTGGTCTCTCTTACACTTTCTTTAATCTGGTGTCTCCAGGGTTGAGCCCAAGTGGCATACCCACTGAAAGCTTCTAAGTGAATTTTTTGTTCCCTTTCTTTCTCCTTAATTCCCCGAGGAGAGTGTCCTCAAATTCGCTCTTCCCTCCCCGCCCACCACCAATCCAGGAAAGCCCGAGCTTAAGAAAAAAATTGCTACCAATTCTGCCCACCCTAGTTTGAATCTAGTTTCAAGGTAGTCTCCCCAGGTTAGTTGCATTTTAAACCTTATCTCTAAACTGTGAAGAGGTGTGGCTTTAGGTATCATGGGGTTTCCCCTTCACTGTGTCTCCCCATGGCCCCATGACCCTCCCCAGAATGAGTATTACTGCCGCCTGGATTTCCTGTGGAAGAAGAAGCTGAGGCAGGAGAGGGAGGAGACGGAGACAATGGAGAATTTGACTCGGCTGCTCTTGGAGAATGTGCTTCCTGCACACGTGGCCCCCCAGTTTATTGGCCAGAACCGGCGCAATGAGGTGACTCCTGACTCCTGAGCCCCAGACACCAGAGGTGCTGATTTCAGATGAAAGTCTTGGACTTAGCCCAACCTCTCTAGGCGCCCCAGAGCGGATTGGGCAGCTGCCCAAGCCCCTCCATACCCCTGTCAGGTGCCTCCCATTTTCACAAGACCTTAGGCTCTGTTTTTGGTGAGCACAGAATCTCTGCATTCCAAGTTCTTAGAAAGAGTGTTCTCTCCAACTCAGGATCTCTCCACACCTTTCAGAAGCTTTGTCAAATGCTGACAAGAGTTGTGTGGAGGACGGAGTCCACCTCCTCTCTAGGCCTGCACTGTAGTGTGGTAGCCAGTAGCCATGGGTTTACTAACCCATTTGGTCATTTAAATTTAACTTAATCAAATGGGAAATTCACATGACAACATGGATGGACCTAGAAGGTATTATGTTAAGTAAAAAAATCAGGCAGAGAAAGACAAATGCCATACAATTTCACGTATATGTGGAATCTAAAGAACAAAATAAATGTCAGACAAACCAGAAACCAACTCATAGATACAGAGAACAAACTGATGGTTGCCAGATGAGAGAGGGTTTGGGGCTTGGGTGAGAAAGGTGAAGGAATTAAGACATAAATATCAGTAGTTACAAAATAGTGATGGCACTGTAAAGTACAGCATAGGGAACATAGTTAATAATGTTGTAATAACTGTGTGGTGTGAGGTGGGTGCTAGACTTATTGGGGGATTGCTTCATAAATCATATAAATGTCTACACTATGCTGTACAGCTGAAACTAATACAAAATAATATTGAATGCCAACTGTAATTGACAAATTTAAAAAAGGTGAGATGGAGAACCTAAGCCCTCACTCTTAACCCATGACCTTGCTGTGTTGCCTCAGGTGTGCTGTGTAATTTTCAGGTCTTGTAAATAAACCTGTATCTTAAACCGAAAAAAAAAAGTAGGGGGAGAATAGGAGGGAAGGAAGGAAGGAAGGGAGGGAGGGAGGAAGGGAGGGAGGGAGGGAGGGAGGGAGGAAAAGAAAAAAGAAAGAAAGAAAAAAGGAAGGAAGGAAGGAAGGAAAATTCAGTCCCTCCATCACACTGGCCACATTTCATGTGCTCAACAGCAGCATGTGGCTAGTGGCCACCATATTGGACAACACATCTATAGAACATTCTCATCATCACAGAAACTTCTATTAGATGATACTGCTCTAGATCTTCAAATAATCTTGCTATAGTCAGTCCATCAGCAGGTCACCCACATATTTGTACCCTCTTATTCGTACTACCACCACCCCCTTATCCTCTGCTATGGCAATGCTCTTGGCCTGTACTGAGAGGTGTTGAAAGAAATAATGCAGAGGTTATTTTACGGCCTTATGTCCCCACCAGCTTCTGTCTGCTCTCAAGATCAGAAGTAGCTCTGCTTCTAGTTTCTTCTCTTATAGACACTGGGAATCTTGTAAGTGATCTTGTTTCTGTTTTCACATTGGCTACTCGAAAGCTCAGACACCGAATCGAGGACTAACATGGGTTTACTAACCCATTTGGTGAACGAACCTCAGACCTGATTCCATCTTTACATCTTACCTTTATTTTCCCTTTGCCCTATTTTTCCTATTATTGCTTTATTTTATTGTGCAAATAGTAGATCTTTATAAGCTGATTTAACTCACTTAACACCTTTCAGCAATAATAAGATATAAAGATAATTTCCATTGACATGATCCCAGTTCTAGAAGTAATTCCCTTCACATTGCTATGAGGTGATCTTTACCTCAAACATGTATCCTTCCTGGACTCACAATGAGACCCAGTCTTTGACTCCTGCGTCATATCCCTAGGGTAACCTAGCCCTCCCCTGCCCCCTCGTTCCCAGTCCTTACACAGAGGTGGAGGCATGGGGACACAATGACAGAAGGAGAGAGAATATGGCCTCCAGCCTTACTCCAGCTTCTCACCTTCCCAGGACCTCTACCACCAGTCCTACGAATGTGTCTGTGTCCTCTTCGCCTCAGTCCCAGACTTCAAGGAGTTTTACTCTGAATCCAACATCAACCATGAGGGGCTAGAGTGTCTGCGGCTGCTCAATGAGATCATTGCTGATTTTGATGAGGTGACAACTCCAAGGGTCCCCCACATCCTATGTCCGGGACCCTAGAATTCCCCACCAGTCCCTCCTCCTAAATACTGTGCTCTTCTGGCCATGAGGCCCAGTCTGCACTCTTGAGCCTTCCCACTTCTCCTCTAACACCCCAGCTCTGCCTTCTTCAGCAACTCTGTTCACTACCAACTCCCCCTCCTGCCTCCATCCCTGACCCCGCACTGGTCCTTTAGTCTCCAAAGGCCTGGGGCTGGGCTTTGGGGAGAGAGGAGGGAGAGAGCAAGGGAGACTGGGGACACAGCCTCATCTCTATACAGCTGCTCTCTAAGCCCAAGTTCAGTGGGGTGGAGAAAATCAAAACCATTGGCAGCACCTACATGGCAGCTACAGGCCTAAATGCCACCTCTGGACAGGATGCACAGCAGGTACAGTGTTCCTTCTTTACCTACCAACCTTCATCTGGGCTGCCATTGGAAGGTCCATAAACGGGCCCTATTCCTGTGCCCTCATTGACCCATTCTGGTGGCTGACCCATTGCCAGGATGCTGAGCGAAGCTGCAGCCACCTTGGCACCATGGTGGAATTTGCAGTGGCCCTTGGGTCTAAGCTGGACGTTATCAACAAGCACTCATTCAACAACTTCCGCTTGCGTGTGGGTAAGGGCCTTGCCTCGCTGGGGCAGTCTGGGACCTCCTCCTCACCTTCCCAAGCTCTCCCTCCCCATGTCCTCTGTTAGCTGCTCCCAGCTCATCCCTGGACCTCCCTTCATACTCACCCCTCAAGATGGAACAGGAAGCTGCTGGGCCAAAAGCTATGAGGTGCACCCACTCCCTGTCCCCGCACTCCTCTCTGCTAAGGCCCCCAGGCCCTTCTTCCTAGTTCCTTGAGCTTTTTCTTCTTCTCTTCCTCCTCAAATCTGCCCCATCTTTACCATGTCTTGTCAGGGCTGAACCATGGACCTGTAGTGGCTGGAGTGATAGGGGCCCAGAAACCACAATACGACATCTGGGGCAACACGGTGAATGTGGCCAGCCGCATGGAGAGCACAGGAGTCCTGGGCAAGATCCAAGTGAGGAAACTGCATTGGAGGCATGGGGGAAGTGGGTAAGGTTAGGGCCATGCCCATACTCCCTCACCCTCCTCCCATCGCAGGTAACAGAGGAGACAGCCTGGGCCCTGCAGGCTTTAGGCTACACCTGCTACCGCAGAGGTGTTATCAAGGTCAAAGGCAAAGGGCAGCTGTGCACCTACTTCCTGAACACAGATTTGACACGAGCTGGACCTCCCTCAGCCACACTAGGCTGAGACCCCACTCCCTACTCTTCATCTCGAAGATCCTCAGTAAAGAGACTGGAATGTCTGGAGCAAATTGATGTGAGAAACTGCTGAGACAGCTTCTGGGACCACCTCCACGCCTCTCAGCCGGACTGCTTTTCCCCAGGTCACACAGAGTGGTGTGTGTGTGCAAGCATGAGCGTGAGTGCATGGAAGGGAATGATTCTTTACACAAGCTCAGGAAGAGAACTGCCTCAGCCTCCCTGCCTGCCTGCCAACCTGATTTCAGTATTTAATAAACCTTGGAAGTATGAAGAATTTTAGCTGCATGACTCAAAACAAGGAGTTGTCCTTTCCTGCTCTCCACCCACAAATATTGGAAGGAATCTTTGGGAAGAATGTCATTTGACCTTTATTCATTCAACAAACACTAAATAAGCTCTTATGTGCTTACTATGAAGCATGGGTGAGAGGCCTTGGAAAAAATCTGTTAGGTCCCTCCCCATTTCAGCTGTTCTAAAACTGACCCATGATGCTTTCCTGTGAGGACCTGTAGACAGTTTTGGGGTTCTTCTGTTTTGGGGCCCCTCAGATGCCCCCTTGCTTCCTTCTGTAAACTTCTGCTCAGATGCCGATATTATGTGGGTCTTGAAGCATCCCCGGTTCATTCCCCTGCTCATATTTTGGAGACCATGAGGGATATCTTGACACCCTAGCTTTGTTGCAAATATTTTGCAACAAAACAAAAGCATGGCTTTTTGGTTTTTCTCCTAGTTGTTCTTTCTTTTCTTATGGGAAAGATTCAAAAAGTATGCCACTGCCACTGCTGCTCCCATCTTCCTAAAATGCTGTCAGAACAGAGGCCCTTAAGACCACAGCCATCCCTAGGAAAGAATGACTCATCCCTCTGCACTTTGGGGAATCTTCATTTCCTAAGCGTGATCACAGTCACGGAGTACCCTCAGCCCCACCCTGTGCCAGAGTGTGTTTGCTGGGCCTGGCTAAACGCTGATGTCAATTCTAGGGGACAAGATCTGCTGACTCGGTTCTCAAGTGAGGCCTCTTTGGGAGATGGGGGGGCCTTCCCCTTAAGGGAAGAAAGCCAGTCCCTTAGAAACATACCACTGAGAGGATGAAGGTCAAGGGCAGGAAGCTGGAGCCATGGTAACAATGATAACTATCACTGGCTTCAGGGTAGAGGTCCCAGAGCAGTGCTACGTTTTCTCAGAAAGTCAGATGAGTCACAGAGTCTGGAGTGAGGAGCCCACATGGGTGGTATTCCTCAGTGGGCTCCTTCAGGAATCTGCAAACCTGTGTGCTAAGTATGATTTGCAGGCCACCTGTCTCAGAACACAGGAGAGGGAGTTGATTTCTATGTCTGCCTTTGTGTCCCTTCAAAAATTGAAAATCATGGGAAACTAAAGGATGTGCCTCTCAACTATGGAGACAGACCCCCATTAAGACACACCCAGGAGCATCTCAATCCCCCATAATGCACACGCCACACACACAGGGTTAACCCAGTTTCAGACTTCAGTTTTAATTGCAAAGCTGCCCAGGGGAGCCAGGATCTCACTCTGCCCTTACTCGTCTCTCCCCTCCCTCTTCTTCCTCTCCACCTCCACACAATATGCAGAATTGGGTCAGGCCAGCGTGGGGGCATTCTGCCAGGAGGAAAGCAAGTGTCCTTCCACCGCCTCTCTCCAGGCCTGGTTCAGTTCACTTCACTGGAGAGGTTCAGTGGAGACAGTGAGGTTCTCAGCTGGGTTAGGCTCAGGAGAGGTGGGGGCGCCCTTCACTGTCTGGCCCAAGGTGACCCCACGTCGGGTGCTAAATGCCTCTGAGCCTGTGGCTTCCAACAGCTTGGCCATGAAACCCACACCGGCTGAACGAAGGAGACCACCTCCTGCGCACGCATACAGCAGGGGGTTCACGCTGCTGCTCAGGAAGGCCAGGGCGATGAGCACATGGCGGGCCAGCGTCAGTCGCTGCCCTACGGACCCCACGTCTGCCCGGCCGGCCAGCGCTTGACCAGCCTGAGCCAGGTTCACTAGGTGGTAGGGCAGCCAGAAAGCCGCGAAGGCCAGGATGATGAGCGCCACCAGGCGGCCGGTGCGCCGGCTGCGGCGGAAGCGCCGGGCCTTCAGCCTGCGTCCAATGTCTGAGTAGCTGGCCACCACGGCCAGGAAGGGCAGCAGGAAGCCCGTGATGGCCTCGAAGAGCAGATGGAAGACCTTGTGACTTTCGCTGGAGTATACTGGAAAGCAGACCAGGCTCCTGCCTTTCGGTACCACACTGCGGTATACGATGACGGGTGTGGCCAGCAGAAATGATACCACCCAGATGCCTGCCAGCAACCGCCAGACAAACGTCTTGGTACGCAGCTTCTGGGACACAAAGGGGAGGGCCACCGCCAGAGAGCGGTCCAGGCTCATGGCCGCAATAAGCAGAACGCTGGCATACATGCTGACTCCACAAATATAGTGGAATAGGCGGCAGCCAGCCACTCCAAAAGTCCAGGTGCCTCGGGCCAGGGAGTAGAGGAAAAAGGGGGCAGTGAGCAATACGGCCAAGTCAGCCAGGGCCAAGTTCAGCACCAGCAGGGCAGTGACAGAACGCTTTCGCATCTTTACGAGGATGCTCCACACCACAAAACTGTTGCCAGGGAGCCCCACAACCAGAGCCACTGACAGCAGGATGATAGCCAGCAGAGAGATGAACATGACGCTTTGTGAGGAAGGTGCTGCAGGAGATGTAGTGTTCGTGGCCATCACAAGGATCTGGAGGTTAAGGTGGACATGCACATGAGGGTAGGGGTTCGAGGGTTTCCTGGCACCCTGGACACAAACAGCCTGAATCCTCTTCATCTTTCTCCAAATCAGCAACATCAGATGCACCTTTGCAATGCACTGCCCTCACCACTGCCAACTGACCTGTCTTAGATCTGGCTGAGAAGAAAGACTAATTTCCTAACTGGGCCACAGGGCCCCTTCCTGTGCATAGACCCAATTGCAAAATACACGGTAACAGCAGCAATAGCATTTCCAGAGCCTTTCAGCCTCTTTTCCTCAGAAGACCCTCAAACCCAGAGCCAAACTAGGGGTGGAGGGACTTCCTTACCAATGTTGTGCCTCTCAAAAGGCTAACTCCTCTCTATTCTTTGCCAGGTCCTTAGCCCCCTCAGTCCCACTGATGTCCTCCAGTTCCCTACCCACTCTTCCCAGAGATGACCAAGTTCCACCAGGAGTAACAGGGATGGGAAGGAGTTCAAGGAAAGAAGTACAAATCCTCCCACGTCCTCTTACCACAGGTCAGGCTCTCTTCGGAAATTCCATTGGACCTTCTCTCGTGGCTGCACCCCGCCCCTCCAGCACCTCCTCTACTCCCAGGATCCTTACTCACAGGCTTTGCTGGGCACTGGTCGGAAGCTGGTACCAATCCCAGGGTCAGGGCAGAGTGGTGTAACCTATCCCCAGCTCTGTCTCAGTGCCAGGAATTTGGCTCCAGGTCTGGATGCTGTCAGCAAAGTCAGCCAGAGAGGAAGTACTACAGCACAGGGGAGGGGGAAGATACATCTTGAGGGTGGGGCTGAAACGCCTACCCTCCTCCCTTCACTAGAAGGAGGGATATTCTTTATGTTCCAAGAAGGCCAGCAGGGAGGAGGACCCTCAGGGGAGGGGCCAGATGAGAAGAGCCCTAGAAGGGGCAGTGAGAGAGAAAAGGGTGTAGGAGTGAGTAGGCTGGGGTGTGGCCTCATATGCAGGTCTAGACTGGATAACTGAACACAGTAATAAACTGTGTCATATGGGAGGAGGAGAGAGGGAAGCCAGAGAGAGGAAATGGGTTCAGAATGTGAGGGCAGAATGTTGAGTATATTTTGTGTGAACAAGTAGATTTTTAGATTAATAGTAAATGTAGGTTAGATCTGTGGTTAGGTTCGAAGTTTGGGTTATGAAATGACTTAAAGAGATCAGCAAGTCATCTTTGGCTCAGGTTCAAGAATGAATGGAGTTGAGGGGAGAAGTCCATCTTCCAGCAACCCAGGCCCTCCCCTCACTTAAAAGGGTTGGTTCCATTCTAGGTTAATCAATTTAAGTCCAAAGGGTCTCCTTACTATCACACGGAATGTCGATTTCTTCCCCTTCCCCAACCATTTGCCTTGTGCTTGTCCGCGTGGCTACCCTGACACATGAGTTCAGATTTAAGATCTGGGCACTGGACAGGAGGTCAGCACCACCCTTTTCCTGCCTTCCCACAGCCTACTCTCCAGTCCCACTTTCAACACACACGGGAAATAGATGCTGAGCATGGGGAACAGGAATGAGGGGGTGGGAGCAGTGATGCTTCATGCCTGCCCTGCCAAAAGGGGAAACCAGGGCTGTGGAAAAGGAAACAGCCCCCCAAAAGGATCTCTCTCCCCTTTCCTCCTTTTCTTGAACTCTCCTGCAGGAGCTAAGAGCTGGAAAGTCTTTCCTTCAGTCTGACCTCCTTGCTTCCTGCTTCCCTTCCAACTCTCCCACTCTCCAGAAATTTGCAGAGTGTAATGGTGCCTCCCACTCTCTCTGCTTTGAGAAAAGTCAAAGCGGAGTTCACCCAGTAGCTGTCAGGTAGAGGATATGAGGAAAAGAAAGGGTTGAAGCCACAGCAAGCAGGCCGGGTTGAGAAAGGGCTTTCTGACCACAGACAGTGTGTGAGACAGGGAATATGTAACAGAGGAAGTTGGCAATCCGCTCCCCCAGTGCATGAAGGCAGGGAGAAGCCTCTGCAGCCGATGTATCAGTGTCAAGGCCTCTGACTCAGAGCTCTGGGGTCAATCAGAGGCCCCTTCCTTCTGATACAAACTGAACTGTCTTTCTTCCTCTCCTGAGCTGCTTCCCCCGTACACTTCTGTCGGTGGCCTTTCTTCCTCCAACCCGGGCTAGACACTCTGCGCATACCTGCCCTCAAGTCCAAAGCTCCACCCCCAGCCTGTTTTGGTGGCCCTGGTGTGACCCTGACCCTGAGGACTGGGTTTCCTTTGCTCTCTTGGCCTCTGCCTAGGGGGTGTGAACAGCCACTAAAGCAGGACCTGGGGTAATGGTCAGATCGCCCAGAACTCAGATAGCCAACATCTAGGTTTGCCAGAGACTGAGGGGACTGGAATAAGAGACTTCCACTGCTAAAACTGGGAGGGTCCTGGGCCAACCAGGTTGAGTTGGTCCCCCTAGTGGCCACATGTGTATACACAGGAATATCCCCCAAAAGGAATCCCATCTTGCCTCTTCAAACTCAAAACTGTCAGGATCCAGAATCGTTTTGAGGCCTAGATGTAAAGAGATTCCAAAAGATGGGGGCTGGGAAGTATTGGGGAGGGCAGGTAAGGAACAACTAGCAGTCTTGGGAAGAGCCAAGACTGGGCAGAGAGAAAAAGGAGAAAGGAGAGGTGGCACCTCCCTGGAAAGTTCTTTCTGTCCTCCAGATATCCACACCATTCCTCATACTCCCTCACCCCCAACCGCAGACACCCTCTGGGAGAGCGAGTGCCTGCTCCTGGGCTCCCTTTTGAGCTGGGCGACCTCTGAGGGGAGTGTTGGACTCGGAGAGGAAGATGAGTTTCAGACCCCCAGGGACCCTCCCTCACTGGGCCAAACACATTACAGACAGACAGAAAACTTCCCTTTCAAACTCCATAGACCAACTTCACCTTCCAGAGCCAGCTTCCTCCCACCTGGCTCTTCCAGACCCCGGAGGACGGATCCCATCCCCGCCCCACATGCAAGCGCACACACCTTTCCTTCCTTTCTCCCTTTATTTACAGAGTGCTTGGATGGGCTGACCTGAGGGAACTAGGCCACCTGGGCAGGAAAGGACAGGTCAAGATGCCACGGAAGGCTCGCCCTGCCCAGACTTGGCCCGCTCCAGCAGGGAAACCAGGTGGTGCCCCTGAAGTTCAGGCACGCTGAACCAACCACCGGGCCGAGCGCGCTTCAGCCATGGTGTCATGGCTGCATGGCGTCTTTCACAATATGTACTGGCAACAAGCTAGCAGCGCCAGCACATGGGCACATGCCAACCTGCAAGTGCCCAGCATTCATTAACACGAACCCTCACCCTACACAATCCCTCAGTTTGAAGGAAACTGGGCCTGCCCCAGGCACATAATAGCTCTGCCTTTGCAGATCCAAACTAGTCAGAGGATTCCCAAATGCTCAGGAGTGGTTTTCTTGAGTTCTGAGGGGTGATGGAAGGGGGTAAGGAAGAACAGGATTTGGGGTCAAGGATCCCCCTCCTGACTCTCCTTTGCTGCCCCGCCCCCTGGGTCTCCATTGCCCCGAACCTGCCCCACCACTTTGAGTCTAGAGGTAGTTCGGAGCTCCAAGGTCCCCTCCCTAGAGCGACCGCCTCCTCGGGCCTCTCCGGAGCCCTCAAAGAGCCGCGTGAGAAAGCTGGGACCTGCGCGGGGCAGCAGATCCCCTGCAGTGAACAGGTAGAGCACCGGGTTGATGCTGGAGCTGAAGAAGGCCAAAGCCGTAGTTCCAGCTCGTGCTGCCTGGCCTGCGCCGCCCAACTTCGCCAGGGCCCCTTCGGGTGGAGCCAGAGCAGCCACCGCCTGCACAACGTTGACCACATGGTAGGGGGCCCAGAGCAAACCGAAGGCGAGCACGATGGCGCTCACCAGCCGGCCCACCCGCGTGCCCTGCCGCCCGGAGCCCCAACGGGCGCCCCGCAGTCGCGCCAGTGTCACGCTGTAGCAGCCGAGCACCATCCCGAAGGGCAGTACGAAAGCGGTCAGAGTCTCCAGGCTCAGGTGGATGGCGGTGTGGGCCCGCGACGGGTGGCACAGCTGGCACAGGCTGTCCCCCCAGAGGTGACGGTAGACGGCGGCTGGGACTGCGAGCAACAGAGCGGTCAGCCAGACGGCAAGCAGCAGGTGGCGGGCCAAGGCCGGGCTACGCAGCCGAGGCGCCAGGAAAGGGCGGGTGACAGCGAGGCAGCGCTGCAGGCTCAGCAGGCTGGTGAGCAAGACGCTGGCGTACATGCTGAGCGCACACACGTAGTACACGGCCTTGCAGCCCGCCTGGCCCAGCGGCCACGCCTGCCTCACCAGGAAGGCCACAAAAACGGGTGTGAGCAGCAGTACCGCGCCATCGGCCAGCGCCAGGTGCAGCACGAGAGTGGCAGCCAGCGGTCGCCCCCGAGCAGGCCGCCAGCCCATTAAGCTCCACACCACAAAACCATTGCCGGGTAGCCCCAGCAGCGCTGCCAGCAGCAGGAAGGCGGTGCCTGTGGACCGTGAGGCTGTGGAGCTCAGCAGCGTCTCGTTCCCAGGGGGGCGGTAGCAGTCAGTCATCCTTCTGCACCTACGGGGGGCGCTGGAAAGAGCCACAGAGCGCATTCAGGAGGTGGGTAAAAGCCTACGGTATCCCTGATGCCAGGTGAGAGGGGAACTGTACCTTCTCCCACTTCTCTGCAGCCTGACTCCCTTCTGTCTGGAAGCCTTGACTTCCTCAGGGACCCCAGCCCCAACTCAAAACACTTCTTCTTCTTAGAACCCAATTGCCCTACTCTCAGTCAGCTGCCTACCCAGTCCTCACTCTCAGGCTGTCAGCACCTCCACCTGCACTCCTCTACCCTTCTTTGTCTAGCCCCATTCTTTACACCTCAGGGCAAAAGTGAGCAGTGGGAAGTAAGGGCACTTGGGCAGATCCACTTACCCAGCTGGAAGCTAGCAGCGTGAGGGCCTACAAAGGGCCTGGGGAGGCTGAAAGGCAAAGCAGCAATGGGCTAGGTGCCTGCTCCTGTCCTGTGCCTGTTAAGTTTGCAGAGTGAGGCGAGAATGGGGAGGGACAAGGTGGGGCCTTTCTTGGGGCACCTCCCTCACCCTACTCTTTCCTATCACCAACACGTCCAGGCATGTGAGGTACTGCCTCCCAGGCAACAGGAAAAGCTGAAGGGGTGCAGATGGGGTTCCCTAGTCATGAAAGTGAATGAGTAGAGACACTGCTGAATCCTGACACCCAGCTCTGGCTCCAACCCTCCCAACCCAGTCATCCCACCCTCAGGTCTCTCACTGGGTTGTCAATGACAGCTCTCAGTGTAAAGTGTGGTGCTAAGATCCGCGGGGCAATTGGGGAATGCATGGAGGTGTAAGGGGCGAGTAACCTGCCTGAGAGTTTACAGCACACAACCCTGAAGATACCACATTACTAGGCTGCACCAGGATACAAGACAAGAAACAAAGGAAGGCATGCTGAAAAGAAGCCTTCTCTGGGTAGAGAGGTCAGGCAAAGATGAGAAATGAAGAAATTTGAGAGGATTTAGTAAACTGATAAAGTTGAAGGGAGAGGAAAGACCTGTATCAGTCAACAGCCAGAACTGGGGGTTCCTTGGGACCAGGACACTAACATTATCTCTGTTTGGGTTCCCTCCAAAGCAGAGTGTGAGTTAAGGGTATGGGTACAGGTAACCCCACATTTGGGAGATCAGCTTGGGAAGCAGGAGTGCGAGCAGGAGAACAGAGGGAAGAGGAAAGCCAGTGAGAGTGTTACGGAGCTCCTTCCATAGGCATCAGGGGCATCTAAGAATGCAGAGGATGCCTTCCAGAAAGAGGCAGCATTGACACTGTTACACACACCTATAGCCTGCCCTCGTCAAGGCACTGACTGGACTGCTGAAGCCTCAGACAAGACTTCCAGGCAGGAAAGCAGAGGGACTTGCACTCATATGAGGAGTTCATTGCTGGTGAGAGTCTGAGCTTCCACACAACTGCTCATCACAACTGCAGCTGAGATCAGAGATGGGACATCAAAAGCTAAAGTCCTGATCTCATCAAAGGACCCCTTCTCCTTTCACGATCTTCATGCCCATTGAGTGGTCAAAGGGGAAAGGAGAGAGAGAAAGCGACTAATCCAGTGTGGCTGAAGCAAGCAGTTCTGCAGAATTGAACCAAAGAAATATAGAGCCAACTGCTACCTCTAGACCAGGAAAGAGCAGGAAAGCAGGAGGGCCAGAGTCCCAGACAGGAGCCTGGTGGTCAACAGATGAGGGCCCATCCTTTTCTCACACCCCGCCCAGATTCACTGCCTCACCTCCCCTTTCTCTAAGCCCTGCCCTTGATCCCAAGCTCAACCCAGCCACCCTTTTCCTAAAGCTGCAGTTTACAGGTGTTTCAGTAGGTGGCAGCATGTACAGCACAAATCACATAATGCAGCTTCTATACCTAGAAACTAGCTCCATACAAAGAAAAACACCAGAGGTCACATTCCATCCTCTCACATAGTTCCCATTTACCCTCACACCACCTGCTGCTACCGGAGACAGACCCACAGAAAGTTTCTTTGGCTTTTGCCTGCCAACTCTGGGCTTTAATCTTTCCCACAGGACCCCATCTAGGCCCCTCCTCTCCTCCCTCCCCTTGGACTTTGCCCTCCTTACAGGCCAGGCAGGGGGCCAGAGTCCAGGCTTGACTCATCCCCCACCTCACTGGGGCTGAGGTCCCAGCTCCGAAACAGAAATCATCACCACTTCAGCCCAGCACAGCGGAGAACGACCTAGCCCAGAACTCGCCTCTTTCCCTCCACCATGGAGTACCTCTCTGCCCTGAATCCCAGCGGCCTACTCAGGTGACTACTCCTCTTCCTCTCCACTCTCCGACTTTAGGGGCAGGAGCAGGCCAGCAAAACTTCATTCAGCCCCTAGGAAACCCATGAACCTCATGAACCCCTTCCCCTCCCACTCCAACTTTCCACGGTGGGCTTGTCCAGCTTCCAAACCACCACCATCCACCTCCACTCCGGGGTCTCTTCCTCTCTCCCTGGGCTACTCTAATCCAAAAACCTAACCCCTCCTCCCCTAACTCTCCAGCCACCCCACCCCCATCATCCATCATCCCCATTCCACTCAGCAAACTCCTCACTCCTTCTTGACCTTTTCTCCGAACTACCAGGTCAGTATCCAATATGAGCTCTGAGTTTGGTCGTAGAGTCTGGACCTCAGCTTCACCACCCCCGAGACCTTTCCGTGTCTGTGACCACAAGCGGACCACCCGGAAAGGTCTAACAGCTGCCACCCGAGAGGAGCTGCTAGACAAGGTGAGTGAGCCAGGCCCCTGGGTTCCTACCCCAGAGGCAGCCAAGGGGGTCAAGAAGAGTGAGAAGCTGGGATGAGCTGCAGAAAGGGCTGAGGTTTCACAGTGCCCTTCCCTCTGGTACCTAAAGGGGGGTGGGGGGGAGCAACAATCCCTGCTGCATTTGGGTCAATCTATTTTTTCCCCAAGGAGTGGGCTTTTCTTTGAGGATAGGGGAAGGAGTAGATAGAGGGTGGAGAGACAGACTTAGTCAGTATGGCATGGTGACTTGTGTAACAATTTAAGTTCAAGTCCTGATACTGCCACTTCCTAGTGTCAAACCTAGTGTCAAAACATCCATTTCTTCAACTATAAAAAGGGAATAATATACCTCCTTGGGTGGTTGGAAGAAGTAAAAGAGGATAGTGTATGTAAACAGCTGCATAGATACCTGGCACTAGTGAAGACTCAAAAGACTGTCGTCATTACTGAAAACTGCTGTGGGGGACTCTGGGGGGCGGGGGCGGCGAGAGCACGGTGGGGCTGAGAGACGAGATTCCATCTCGTCAGGCCCGTCAGCATGATGTCCTGCACCCCAGCCTGTGCCTGTTCCCAAAGGATGGACCTCAGCACAACCTAGCTAGCTTTTCTTTTTCTTTTTTAGTCCTAACCTGAGGGTGTTTATTGATTTTAGAGAGGAGGGGGAGATAAGTATCAATGCGAGAAACATTCGTTGTTGCCTCCCAAACACACCCCCAGGGATTGAACCTACAACCCAGGTGTGTGCCCTGGCCAGGGATCAAACCCACAACCTTTTGGTGTACGGGATGATGCTCCAACCACCTGAGCCACATGGCCAGGGCCCTTGCCAGCTTTTCAATCCCAAACCAGGAGTGGCCTGAAGGAGAGTGGGGGAGGTAACAATGACATGATAGGAGCAAACTGGAGCAAACTGGAAAAAAAGGTTGGTTCCTGGTGAGGCCCCCCACAAAAGAACACTGAGATCCAGAGACACCTGAACCGATGGCAAAGCACCAGGAAGCAGAGTTGGGATATCAGTATCGGGCCGCCCAATAGATGCTGGGCAGCTGGAGCGGGGAGGGAAAGGGACAAGCTCTGCCATTCCCTCCTGCTTTGCAGGCACTGGAGGCCTTGCTGCTGAGTGGAGCGCTAACCCTGGTGCTGGAGGAGGATGGGACCGCCGTGGAGAGTGAAGACTTCTTCCAGTTGTTGGAGGATGACACGTGCCTGATGGTGCTGGAGTGTGGACAGAGCTGGAGTCCCAGCAGGGTGAGAGGCTCGTCCTGGGGCTGCTATCGGCCACCAACCCTTTCTGTCTCTCCCAAGCCTTTCCTCTTGCCTAACCCTGGGAGGCAGGGGTGACGAGAGAGGTAAGGATTTATCAAGGACACCTTATTGTGGACTAACAATCCAGGCAAGGGTGGGTCTGTCGCACTATGGGTGGGGATTAACAGTGGCTGTCGGTAGGTGAGGGTCCATTGCACTCATGGGGTGCCCTACAGAGTGGGGTGCTGTCATATGGCCTGGGCCGGGAGAAGCCCAAGCACAGCAAGGACATCGCCCGCATCACCTTTGACGTGTACAAGCAAAACCCTCGAGACCTCTTTGGGAGCCTGAACATCAAGGCCACATTCTACGGGCTCTACTCCATGAGTTGTGACATTCAAGGACTCGGCCCAAAGAAAGTACTCAGGTCAGAGCCCAACATGTTTTACTTCCCCACCCCTACAGCCTCAGTCCCGCAGTTCCTTCTGCACCCACCTAACCCACTAGCTCTCCCTTGTTTCGAGCCCCTGGCCCCCAGCTCTATACTCCCCATTGGCCATCTGACTGCCTCCTGTCTCTGCCCTTCAGGGAGCTCCTCCGATGGACCTCCACACTGCTGCAAGGCCTGGGCCATGCATTGCTGGGAATTGCCTCTACCCTTCGCCATGTAGTGGAAGGGGCTGGGCAGTGGCAGCAGCGAGGTCGCCTTCATCCCTACTGAGAAGGGGCTTGGAGCTTCTGCCCCTAGACTCATCCCAACAGACGGCTATAGGGACTGTGACATTAGGCCCAGGGACCTGCGGATAGTGCAGACTAGGTAACTCCACTGGTTTCCCCACTGTCCTCTGCCCCGTCAGCATAATGCCTCACACCGCTAGCCTAGCCCCATTCCTAGCCATCTTCTCAGCCTCCCACCTACCCCGAAAGGCCACAAGCTTGTCCCAGGCATCTTCATGCCACCCTGACTGCTGCAGCCTCTAGATGTTCACACAGCTCCCCTCCCTGTGCTCCCAGTGCGGTGAAGACAGTCAGCCGTCTTGGAC